CACTGCAGAGCACTCCTGGCAAAGCCCTCTGAGCCACTTTATCTCCTGCGCAAAACCACCCCCAGACCCCCCGCAGCCACTCACATGGAGCTGGACCAACCCCTCGCTCACAAAGCAGTACCACCACAACTCCTAGAATGGGTGCTATGGAGCCTTCTGAATATAAAATTAATGTTTCTTAGGTGTTGCCATGCATCAGAGGTATTTGGGAGGGGAGATTTACCAGATATATTATCATTGGGCTGGGGTTGTGGCTCAGTGGTAGAGTGCTCACCTAGCATGTGTGAGGCACTGGGTTCGATCCTTAGCACCACGTAAAAATGAAATAAAAATATTGTGTGTCCACCTACAACTAAAAAATAAATAAATATATATATATATATATTTTTAAAGATATCATTCACATGCCATAAAATTCACTATCAAAAGTATAGAATTCCATGGGTTCTAGTTGTGTTGTATTTGGAGCTGGGCAACCATCACCTCAATCAATTTCAGAACATTCTCATAACTTCAAAAATAAACCACATACCCGTTAGTCAGTCCTCCCTTCTCAGCCCCCATTCTTCTCCAACCTCTGCCACCATCAGCCCCTAACAACTACCAGTCTACTTTCTGTCCTTGTGGATTTGCCTGCTCTGGGTATTTCATATAAACGGAATCATAGAATGTGATTTTCTGTGACTGGCTTCTTTCACTTAGCATGGTGTTTTCAAGGTTCATCTGTATTGATGCATCAGTACTTTATCCCCAAATAACATTCCCTTATGTGGATCTACCACACCAGTTATGGACCCGTAGGTTGCTTCCACTGGGAAGCTATTATGAATAATGCTGCTATGAACATTTGTGAGCAACTTTTCGTGGGAACATGTATTTTCATTTTGCTTGGGTAGAACTGCCCATCTGTTTTCTAAAGTCACTGTACTAGTTTATATTCCCTTCAGCAACATATGAGTGGTCCAACTTCTTCACATCCTCCTCAACACTTGTTATTGCCCATTTTCGTTACAGTGGGTGTGTGGTGGTATATGATTGTGGGTTTTTTAAAAATTTGCTCTTTTTAGATATACATGACAGTAGAGTGTATTTTGACGTATTATACATTCATGGAGTATAACTTATTCTAATTAGGATCCTATACTTGCTGTTGAAACATGTTGATGAGTTTCACGGGTCATGTATTCATATATGCACATAGAAAACTTATGTCTGATTCAATCTACTGTCTTTCCTTTTCCCACCCCACTCCCTTCTCTTTTTTCCCCCTTATCTACTCCAATTCATTGTGGTTTTAGTCTGCATTTTCCTGATAACTAATGAGATGGGCCATCTTTTCACGTGCTTTATTAGCCCTTTGTATGGCTTTTAAGAAGTGTCTATTCAGATTCTTTGCCCATTTTTCAGTCAGGTTGTCTTTTCATTGGTGAAAAGTTTGGATTCTGAATGATTTTTCAACTACACTTCAAAATTCAACCCCAGCAAGGAGAGTTGGATTTCAATTTTATGTCTTCCTCTGGGAACCAAGCCATTCTGGGAGAACTCCAGTCCCTAAATTGTAGTTCTTAATAATCTCTTTATACCTCATATATACCTTCAAGAATCTAATGAAAACTATGACCTCTGCCCCCAGAAAAATGTACACATGCACATTTATCTATTTTTTTTCATTTAAAATTTAGGGAGTTTCTGGACCTTCTGACATTCAATCATCGCCTTGATTAGGTGTTTTCATGGAACTATAAACCTACTTTCTGATTGGATAATTATCAAATCACTGAATCTGGTTCTAATGGGCAACATAAATTCCCACATTCTAGGTTTCCACAAGGGAAAAAAAATGTGTAAATTGTTTGAATTATCAAAATTGCCCTTGGAGAAGGAGATTTTACAAAGGGTTGCTTTAAAGGACTGCCTTCCATCATTCCTCTCAATTTTCCCTTTGATCAAGCCAAGAAATGAGAACTTTAGTTACCCACGTTTAGGACCTTCTTAGAAAGGGTCCGTCTGCATCACATTCAGCCCACCTTGTAGGAAAACCATCTAGATTCTTTTATCATCGGTTTTGCAGGGCCTCCCTGATGCTCATACACTTAGCCACACATTTACACACCCCAAGGAAATCTGTGCTTCTTTTGACCCCATGGTCTGTTTCAGTCTTGTGGACACCAGAAGACCTTTAATAATAATGTCTCCTCTGCTTTTGCCCTAAGAAGGTCAGAGATGACTTTGCTGCCTACATCTAGGAATGAGACTAGTTAACTGGATTGTATTGACAGTGTCATTTCCCCTGTGCCCTGATTGTACTTCCTGTTCTTCTTGATGCATGTCTGTGTGTTATTTCAAACTTGTTTCTGGAGCTACCCAAAAAATTCCCTTTTTGGGGCAGGGGATTGAACTCAGGGGCACTCAACCACTGAGCCACATCCCCAGTCCTATTTTGTATTTTATTTAGAGACAGAGTCTCACTGAGTTGCTTAGTGCCTTGCTTTTGCTGAGACTGGCTTTGAATTCACAACCCTCCTACCTCAGCAGCCTCCCCAGCCACTGGGATTACAGGTGTGTGCCACCATGCCTGGCTAACTAACTCCCCTTTCTAATCTTTGTCCCTTTGCACTTCAGCGGGTCTCATGGTACTCTCCAGTACTTCTAGGTACTGGATTCAAGGGTGTTTTGCATGACTATGAGGAGGGAAGTTTTTTTTTTTTTCCCTCCCACTCAGCAACACTTTCATAGACCCTCCATGTCAGGCAGCACGCTAAGTGCCTTTCAAATATTAACTAAGTTAATCTTCACAAAACCCAGGGAGGTAGGAATGATTTTTATCACTCCCATTTTACAGATGAGAAAGCTAAAGAAAGATTAATAAGCTTGCCCAAGCTCACAAGGCCAGTTAGGTGGCAGAGCTAGGATTAGGAACCGGGAGACATCTGCCTGTGGAGTTCACCCTCTGCCTGTCGGCTCAGATAGAGCCAGGGCTCTGGGACCCTTCATAGCCACTCCAACATCCTTGTCACGTGGAACAGTGACGCCCACTGCTTCCTAGACCTGTGACCAAAGGAGGCTCCATGGCAAGGTTGTGTCCAGCTCACAACAGGAACTCCACTTCGTCCTCTTCAGCCAGAATCTGCCTAAGAACCCAGGCAAGAATTCCTTGGGAATCTAGAGAGGAGGAGGCTCTCAACAAAACCTTGTCTGTAAACACCGAAAAACAGACTCCAGGACCCTAACCTCTTCATCTCATTTGAGTACCCGGACGCTGAGTTTGTAAAATGTGTTAAGAAACTAACTCAAACTTAATTTTGAAACATTTTAATATTTGGCAAATCTTTTTGAAAAATGAAATTGAGAGATTCAATTACAATAAAGTATTCTGACAAATTTTGATCATCAATTAACAACTTTTTAAAAACACAGTATAAACATAAGGAAACATATAATGCCTCATGTTTTAAGTATTTTTGGTGACTGCGGAATCTGCCGTTGCTCTTCCTAGTTAAGAACTGGGTGTGAAAATTGGAGAAGTAGAGATTATACCCTACAGATTTTAAGCTGATGCTTGGGACAATCTGAAAATTAGAAATTCCCTCAGACCAATCCACACAGGTACAGTCTGCCAAGCCCTTTCAGAAATATATTTTCAGTAAACCCTCAACCCCATCAGCTATTATTCCCATTTTACAGGTAAGTACAATGAGGCCCAGAATGGTAGTAGTTTTCATGCACCATTTGCCTAATGTCTGTTGAAACTGAGCAACCCCGTGAGAGACAGAAATGGATGAGGACAGTACAGTACGGCTAGTGCTTTGAGAGGAGCATGCACAGGTCATGAGAGCAAGGTGGAGAAACTCGCCCGGCCTCTGACCAGGGGATGTGGGAAAGCTTTGCCAAGCAAGAAAAAGGAGCCAAGTGAACAGGGTGTTTGGAGGGTGTTTGGAGGGTGAAGTGACAGGGTGTGGGGAGAGGCAGTCCAAAGGACCGCCTGTCAACAGCATGAAGGAAGCTGAGGAGCACCTGAGGAGGAACACTCACCTGCCTCCCGAGTGCTGGGCTTGTGCGGGTGAAGAGGATCACACCAGGAACCACGCAGGAAAAGACCCTACCCTCAAGGAGTTTAAGTCACAAATGCATTTCAGAAAACTCAGAGTACTGTGGAGAAAATAACAGGGCAGCTAGCTAAAGAATAGAAGTAGGTTTGGGGAGCAGCAGTTGGGGAAGGTTTGCTCAAGAGGAGACGTTAGCTCACAGGCCTGAGGAAGAAATGCTGGTCAGGGGTGTGGAGAGAGAAAAAACTTCCAGGTAAAGAGCAGGTGAAAGACCTGAACATATTAGGCTTGCTGTCTGAAGAAACAGGAGGCCGGTGTAGGGGAGCACATTGGAGGGGATGCAGGGTGTGATGTAAGGGGGTCTGGTTTATTGAGGCCCTGTACACCATAATTTGAATAAATTCTGAGTCCAAAGAAGCCTTGGGTTTCCAGGGAGTGCTGTAGCAGGACCAATGTTTCATTTATATTCCTAAAGGATAGCACTAGGGGCTCTGGGAAGAATGAATTACTGGGGTCAGGTGTTAGAGCAACACCAGTTAGGAGGCTTCTGCCAGAATCTAGGCAAGAGCAGGGAGTAGTTGGGGTCAGGGTCATGACAGTGGAGGAGGGAAATGGTGGGATCTGAGATATATTTGGAGACAGAGTCAACAGGCGCTCCCAATAAATTGGATTTAGAGATGTTGGTAAGGAAGGAATTATGGATAACTTGTAGGAACTGGAAAACTTGAGGCTATGTCCTCAGGTAGAATTTTAGCAAAGAGAGTCCAGAGCTCTTTGGGCAAGATGTAAATATATGGTGCTTGTGAGACATCCAAGAGAAGATATTTCTTAAGTGGGTAGCTATGAGGGCAGCTCTGAGGAGAGACCAAGATTAGTCATCAATGTTGGGGTCACTGGCCTATAGATGGTATTAAGAACTTAGAATAAAGTGGAAAATCTAGAGAAGAGTATGGTGAGTGAGAAAACCCCTATCAAAGCCCTAGGGGGTCCTCTGACATTCAGGCTAGAAAAGGAAAAGGCAGGGAAGTAGAGCTAGTTGGGAGTGGCCAGGGAGGGAAAGGGGTCAGAGCACCAGGTGGTATAGAAGCCAGCAGAGGCCATGGTGTGGAATGATGCTCACACTCATTAGGTCACCAGTGACTGAAGGGTAAGAAGGTAGCTTCATGGTTGGCATGGGCATGAGTTGGAGAGGGTTGAGGAGAATGGAGAAGAACTGGACAGTCACTGAGACAGTCTGCAAGAAGAGGAGCAAATCTTCAGAGTAGCACATGTAATGGAGGTTTTTAGTTTTGCTTTTAAAGGGAGGAAACATACCAGGATTGCAGTCTGATGGGAAAGATGCACTGGAGAGGGGAGAATGGCAGGAGCTATGCCCTTAAGCTGGCAAGGACACCACACTTTCCCTTCTCCTCATCCCTGACTGTAAGTTCCTGTGCTGGATGGAAGTTCCTATGATCCTCAACTGTTGGCCTTTTAGGGGGCCCTCCCCCGAACCTGCTCTTCTCTCTCTGTGCCCTCCTTGGTGGTTCCTATCAACCCTCAAGGTTTCAGATGCTCCTGTGTTGACATCCAGGCCTCTGCCTCTCACTTGAACCTTTCCTCAGCCTGTAGATGCTGAATGTTCCCACTGGTTGTCCCAGGGAGCTCCACTCAGCAGAGGCAGCCCCTGCCCCGACCTCTCTTCTGTTTCAGGGTGGAGCAAGAAGCTTGGTTCCCTGCCAAGGTCTTTGCTATTCTCCCTTCACACTTTTCCAGCCAGACTCAGTATACACATGGCAAAGTGATCTATTGATCCAGATTCAGTGACTCTGTAACCACTGTGTATTAGTGAGCTTTTTCTCCCTGTGACCAAAATACCTGGCAAGAATAATTTAGAGGAAGAAAAGTTTATTTTGGCTCATGGTTTCAGAGTTCAGTCCATGGTCAGCCAACTCCATTGCCCTGGGCCTAAGGTGAGACTGCACATCATGATGTAAGGTGATGACAGCCAGGAGGCAGAAAGAACAGTCACAGCGTAGGTGCCAGGGACAAATATAAACCCCAAATACACATTCCCCTATGACCTTCTTCTTCCAGTCATGTCCCACCTGCCAATACATACCATCCAATACAGTAGTCCTTCCAATTATTGTGTGTGTGTGTGTGTATTTTCTGATGCTGTAGAACACAAAAGACTAGTCTTATTTTCTTCCGAATTACTGTTCCATCAGCTAGATCAGCCCACTGATTATAGTTCTCATAATCTAAGCATTTCACCTACTGCTATACTGTCTACTGAGTTTTGGGGACACCTCATATTCAAATAATAACCATGCTTCTACCACACACTCCCCTTAAGGGAAGTTCCTCGAGCTACTTTATTTTCAAAATGTATCATGAAATCTTTATTTTAATTAGTGCACAGCTATTCACATTGAAGTTAGCAAGAAAAAAGTCACTTTATGATAATAAATATTCATATGAGAGAAAGTCTGCAAAGTGATTTATTCTCACAGTTATTGCTGAAAGTTCTTCAAACAAACCAGTGCAGTAAAAGTGTCTAAGAGAAGCACCAATTTTTCAGGTTTCTTTACCACTGCTTTAGTAAGCATCATCTTGATAATGTTCATGTTTTTAAACTGCTCCTTCAGATGACAGTAACTCTTYGATGTTTACTTTTATTTCCAAGTTTGTGATCTTATAAGTGGCTACATTAGGGTTGTGAACTGTCTCACTGTCTTTTCACTCTCTCTTTTCAACTCTTCAATGTGGGCATCTAGGCGTTCCAGAATATGATGAGACCTCAGTTCCTCCTCTTCCAAAAACCTGGTAGCTATGGAACCCAGGGGAGACACAGGTATGGAACACTAGGAAAGGACAAATTGTGATATGTATGAGTACATGGCAACTTACATTCCTAAAATGCACGATTCATGATATTTTCTAACAATATTAAAAAGTAATTTCCCCTGAAAAGATATTTGTTTTCATTCTAATGACAAAAGCACTAAAAGTAAAAATTGGTAAGTTTTACAAAAATTAACACAGATCCCTCCCTTCTAGCTCAAGCTGTATCAGTGTAAAATATGAAATAAATAGAATAAATTACTGGCCACTGGTCTGAAGAATAAATCAATTTCGACTTATATATCCTTCTATTCCCCAGAAGAGAATATAGTTAATGTCTACTATTTCGAACTCACTTTAAAATTCTGAATGCTATTTTCATTTTAAAGTAACAAAAATCTGCCAGTTGAAATCAATATTTTACCCCACCCCTAAAATTCTACTCCACAGTCATTTATATGAAGCTCATGATTCTAGCAATATTTCAGAGTTCAGATTTTAGAAAGGTAATACAGGAAATATGCCATATGCAGTCCACCCTCATTTGCAGTAGTTATGTTCTATGAAATCACCCTGAACACTGGATTAGTGAACACAGAACCACTGCCCCTGGAATAAAAAACATACACCCCTCACAGAGATCACGATCCTAAACTCTAGAAACCACTCAGCCTGGTAGATTCTATATAGTCTCTACTTATGAAAGAGAAACAAGGCTTGGAGGTATTAAATGACTCTCCCAAGTTGCCCCCACACACACACTGGTGGAACTGGGACTCAGACCTGTGTAGCTGGCTTCCAGGACTATGCTGTGCTGCCCCACCCCCCCACTGCCACCCACTGGCCATCTCTGCCAGAGCACTGAGGCAGGAAGGCCGAGTGCTGCCTTGTGCGACCTCAGCTGGGAACGTGAAGTCAATGACTCCAACTTCTCACCACTGTGCATGCCCACAGATGACTGTGGAAGTGCCACAACAGAGTGTAGAGAGAAGGCAAACACACCATCTTTGATGGATACCTGCCACAGTCTAAGGTTATGTCCCACGACTAAATAGATTGATATTTCTAAAACGAAATGCATGGATACTCACACTAATATAGAATAAACAGTCTACACAGATCCCATTTAAGTCAGGGAAGTCTTTGGTATCAAGTTTTGCTGCCAAACTTAGGGCTTTTTGGATTTCATGATTACACATAAGGGAAATGTGGACTTATTTTAACACTAAAAGAAAACCTTTCCCCAGATTTATTGCAACCCTGCAAAGTCAAAAAACTCAACTTTTACATGTATACAATCATAAGGTGGTGGGGAAAGAAGAACCCAAGGCACAGGCTTCTGTGCAATCTGCACAGCAGGGGAGGGAATAAGGGGACAGATCAAAGGCAGCCTCTGCCACCAGGGCCCTTGCACAGTGCCCAAACCACCCTCTGCACACTTGAGATACACAACCTTCCTCCACCGCTGCCCACCCACCCCTTTCCTACAGCTCCTCTTCCTTTCTTCACTGCCTGTGCTGCAGGATTGTGGGGATGCTCACAGACGCTTCTAGAAACAACCATTCCAGTACAGAACTGGCCCTCTCTGAAAAAGACAGGAAGGGAGTTTCTAATTTGGGTTAAAAATGAATGAATACCTATAATTCATATTTCAGAACTAGGATATATTCTGAAAAGTAATCCTCGCTGAATGTCTTCACAAGCAAAACTCTAAGAAATACATGAACATAGAAAAGGGTAGTTATGATAGAGAATCCGTAAGAAAAACAATCACCCTCTTCACCTTTAAAATAAAACTGAAATCAAACTAAATAAACTAATGAGCTAGTAAGATCAGAAAGTTTCCATACCGAAGATATAAATTCTTCTTGGTCATTCAGACTGTCAGATGTAGTGTCAGAAAAATTGGCATTATTCGCATCTAGCACTGAACAGTTAGTCTGACACAGAAAGTAAGAAGGCAAAGAAACTGCAGAGCTGCAGGGGCTGACTTGAGGACTCAAAGGGGTGAGGACCCTGGGCATGGGGTCCACACCATCCGATGCTTTTCCTCTCACAGGGTGGAAACCTGTTTTGTAGTGCTCAGTCTTTATTCCATCAGGTCTGTGCTGGCCAAGGGCTGGCCTGGAGAGCAGATTAGAAAACAAAACAAATGAAAAACTGTTCCAACTCTTATTTTTCCAACAGAAATGCTGCAGGAAGTTCACTTAGACATAAACAAAGAAGCCAATCAGTAAGGCTCTATAGTTTACCAAAGGAGCAGCCTATTCAGACAAGGTGCCTTTTTACTCATTCAGAGCCCAAATACCCAACCCCTAACTCCAGGCCATGGCCCTCACCTACTTTTTATACAAGGGCCAGGAAGACAAACAAGCTGTAGAGTATCCTAGAGTGGTTCCCGCTAGGATAGGGGAAGTAGGATGGGGTGAGGGTGTCAACAAAGGCTTTTGTTAGGGAAACACATAAGCCATATTGTACGAGCTGAAGCCAGGCAGCTTGTCCTTGAATGCTTATTCCTTATGGTAACAGCCTAAAATTAATTGATCAAAAACAGGAAGTTTTTTGTTTTTTGTTTTTTTTTTAACATTTTATTTTTATTTTTTCTTAGTTCTCGGCGGACACAACATCTTTGTTTGTATGTGGTGCTGAGGATCGAACCCGGGCCGCACGCATGCTAGGCGAGCGCGCTACAGCTTGAGCCACATCCCCAGCCCAAAAAACAGGAAGTTTTTATAAAATGCCAAGTTCTGCTTCTTTCAGGACAGGTGGAGTGAGGAGGCTGGAGGTAGCATGAAAAGGCTCAAGGGAGTAAACCTGAAGACTTTCCAGAGAGCAGAAAACTAAAGCTCTCATGAAAGTGCCATACAACTTCCCCTCCATTTTTTAACCTGACTGTGGCTTTGCTTGTGCATGCTGTACTTTAGAATTAAACACAGAGCCCTTTGATTTAATTTCTCTAAGTCATAAATTCTCAAAGAAATGAGAATTATATTTCCATGATACACATTTAAAATAATCTTTTAAGGAACTTTACTTAAACTCTGTATTCCTGAACTCAGTCGTTCTGCAGAGTGTCGGCTTAAAGATATTGTCTTTTTTTTGGCATATCTGAGTAGCGATCTCCAGTTGAGATTTGGTATCCATCAAATCTTTCTGTAGTTGTTGATTTTCAGACACTAATTTATTTAATGCCTCAATATAATTCTCCTGAAGGTCTGTTAGTGAAATCTCTTTTGCCTAATAAAAAAGAATACTAAAGTCACTTAATTTGTACAAGAATATTTGTGACCTATGTCACTGCTGGCTGAAAAATAAAATTTTTTGTTGTTGTAACTAGTTAAGTTGTGGATTTCTTCAGAAAAATTAAAGGTTTGTCTTTAGTTAAGACTAATGAGAAAAAAGCATTCTGTTTCTTAGAGTAAATGGGAGTGGAAAGAAAGAGTACAATGGGATTCCTCATGTGACAGGAATATCAGAGGAGCTGGGGAAAGGATGGAAACAGAATGCAGGAAAGCTGTGAGAGCCAAAAACAGTGATGAAAAAAGTAAATAACAGCAGCCATCTTGTTCTGCAAGAGGGAAAAGTCTGCACAGCCCCATTACACCTAGGGAAGAAAATCTACAGACCTAGTTCAAGGAAAGAAATTTAAATATAAGGTACTAAGAATTCTACAAGGACAAATTTTGAGCAAATATTCTCACATCCTACATATCTTTACTTAACTAGCATCTAGGTTTGTACTCTTGGACAGGACAAGGCAGGATGTGAGAATGGTGGGATCATAGTAGCACTTGATCATAAGTTTTCTCTCTCTTCACTTCTATATGTTTCTTGGTAATACAGAACCACTTTTTTTCTAAGAACAACATTTTAATTAGCATTTTGCAAAATTATAGTGATCTTTGAAGAAAATCATTACTAATGATGATTATACCTTGTTCTTTATTTTTTAAATAGTTTTTGAGTTGTAGATGGACACAATACCTGTATTTATTTGTTTTTATTTTTATATGGTGCTGGGGATCGAACCCAGTAGCTCATACATGCTAGGTAAGTGCTCTACCACTGAGCCATAACCCTGGCCCTACACCTTGGTCTTTTCTATAAAAGATTTTCTGAAATTACCTAACAGAAACATAAACTTTAAGATATATCTGTAACTACCTCTGTTCCAGTGACAATGAGCTACGAGATCTTTCAACAAGTTTTTCATGCAGGATAAAATCTTAGAGAAGAATATTTGCAGGACAGAGAAGCTAAACTGCAAACTACTGCCAATTTTTAAAAACATGGAAATATTTTACTAGCTGCTATTTTTTAAGGATAATTAGAACTGAGAATGGAGGTGCATGCCTGTAATCGCAGCCACTTGGGAGACTGAGGCAGGATCAAAAGTTTAAGGCCGGTCTCAGCAACTTAACAAGATGCTCTCAAAACTTTAAAAATATAAAAATAAAAAGGACTAAGAATATAACTCATATAGCTCAGTGGTAAATGTGCCCCTGGGTTTCAAAAGATAATAATGATAATGAGATAATTTATTAGATGTTTTTAGCCCAAACATTCATCTGTAAAATTAATTCTGCCTTCTTACAAGTTGAAATACAAAAGGGGACTTTGTAACAATTATTTCTAAGGGCATTTATAACATGTTTATACTGTGTAACTTCAAAACTAAACAAAGCTTAAACTGCTGACAGGATTTTAACACCCAGAGTTTGATGTCAGATATCATTAAGCATACTTTAAAAAAAAAAAGATAAAACTTGTCTTTTCCTGGCACCTTTCATAAATTTCTCAGTTATTACTTTATTAAAAACAAATATAGATAAATGAATGTGAAAGGTAATATAAAAACAGAGTAGCAAGCACGCACCTAACTACAAAGAAAAAACAAGTATGACCAGTTAAGTGGAGGCATCAGGAAAAATTCAGCTGAACAGAATCTCTGGTCATAGTCTGACTCGAGTTCTTATTAGTGTTCTCAACTCTTAAATTTGAAAGTAAGGTGTAAGTATAACCTTATCCTTTGTAAGGTATACTTATACCTTATGACTGTATAAGATAAGGTACTCTCAATCAAATACTGCCAACGTCTGAGTCTTTTGAGGATTCTGTAGTGTAAATCAGATTCATTCCTGGATTTCTTTATGACTACCTTAGTATTGACTTTATCAGGGCATCCAACATCATGAACTACCCATCCACTCAGCCAGCCACCTGACAAAACGTTTAGCTATTGTCTCTTCTATTTCTCCCATCCTTATGTGTGAGTTCTTTAAAAAAAACAAAAGCAAAAAAACCCACAAACTTTTCATTACAGTATTAGAGATTTGAGAAGGAAACAATATTTAAATGAATGTTTTCATCTGCTATCTTAAATGACAGCATAATATTTTATAGTATAGACAGCCACAAACTAATCATTTAAATAAATACTTCTGGTAGATTTTGAAATTCTGGATATTGCACACAACACTGACATGACCATTTTGCACATGTGCTCCTATAGGATGGGTTCTTTGGGGATACAAATTGATAACACACTGAAAAGCAATTCAGCAATGACTATGAAAATCAGAAATGCACATGACCCAGAAGTTTAGAGACTATGAATACTTATAAGCTTGCCAGCGATTGCTAAATTGTCCTTCTGAACGGCCGTATCAATTCTCTTTTTCATTAACAGTGCACAAGAAAGCCTATTTCCCTATATATTTGCTAACAGTTTTTAAAAATCACCATAAAGCCAATTACCAAAGGAATATTTTTTTAATTCTTATTAGGTAGGTTGAAAAGTTCTCCTTGTTCACTTGATATTTATATTGTTTCCATGAATTATCTGTTTATATCAATTTGCCAATTTTTCTATTTAATTATCTTTTTCTTATTACCCTTGTAGGAAATTCTTATATATTAATGTTTTATCTTAACCTTTCATCTATTTATAGATTTTTTTCTACTAGCCTTTTTATGGAATCTTTTTGTCATCTAAAAATTTTATTTTATTTTTTTGGTGGCACTAGGGATTGAACCCAGGGCCTCACACATAATGAAGCAGGCCTTTTACCACTGAGCTGTTCCCAACCCCAAAATTTTACATTTTTATGTTTTAAAATCCTTTGTGACTTCCTGATGCTTAGAGAATTTTACCATATGAAAGACCATAAAAAATAATCCCCCATTTTTCTAGTTGAAATAAAGTATTCTTCTAGCTTTTTTCACTTTTTTCCATCTTAGCCTCCTGATTGTGAAATTAGCAATACTTGGGAGCAAATGGGGAGCACTGTGGAAGCCTGATACTCTGTAAAAATTCTTTTTTTTTTTTTTGTATTTCCACAATCTGTGGATATCTGACCTACATCAAAGAAAAGATGGATCAGAACAGAGGTATCATTTTGAAAAGTACAGGAATTTGTAACAATATAGTTAAAAGAGCATCATACTGTTCATAACTCACTATTGCTAATGGTGTGCTCTGGGGTTTCACAGAAGATTTTATGCATTTTTTATACTCCCTACCAAATTCTTCTAATGTCTTAAAGACTCCTATTATAGTCATCCCTGTATTCTTCACAGCACCTACTAAAATATTTTAAGCATAAAAGATTCTAAAACATTTGATTAAGTGAATTATGTCTTATAGAAAGTAATTAAAACTAAATTGCTTGAAAGATGATATACTTTGTAATGAAAAGATATTGTGAACATAATAAATAATAAATAATAAAATCATCATTTAGCATTTATTGTATATTTACTCAATGCCAGGTACTATGCCAAGTCCTTTATATACTTACTTCCTACTAAGAACACAGGCTGTACATGTTTATCATCACATACTTGTTATAAAATATGCCTTCCTACTGCTGGAGTGGAAAGTCACATTTTGTTCACTTCCATCACTGTTTTCATCTTATTTTAAAAAATTTCTGAAGGAGCATCCACTAGTTTAATCTTAACTTATTCTTTATACCATCAACATTTACAAAGTGATTTTTAAAGGCTTTAAAAAAAAGAAAAACTTCTATTTTTTACCTCATGTAAACCCAATTCCAACTTCATCACCATTTCAGAAAGTTGACGATTTTCTAACTTTAATGATTCCACCTGATTCAAAATCTCCTGACAAAGGAAAAAAAAATATGTGTGTATGTGTATATATTTATATAAACACACATATATAATCAAATGCATTATACAAAATTTTGCACATGCCATTTTTACCACGCTAAGTTGCATTTTTTGATCATATACACATATCCATGCAATATGAACAAGCACACATGCTTTTCAAAAGGATGTGTTGAAGGCATTTACTGGGTGAATTAACATATATGTGATTATCATTCCATGAAGATGAACAAGGTACAAAGCAGCAAAGCTTCAGTTCACAGGCCAACCTCTAACCACTTTCCTGCATTAGTCTTCTCCAACTTGACTTCCACCTCCAACATTACATCCAATTGCGCTTCTTTAACAACATACTAACTGGTTTTCAATCCTAACTCTCCTAGTTTTTCTGCTTGACTATTCCTCTTGAAAAGATCCGTGCCTTCTTTGGCTTCCTTCTTCCTTACCAAAAACTATCTGGTAGCTTTCTCAATGCTACAATTTTTTTTTAAGCTCCATTCCAATATCATTTTTACTTTAAGTAATAAGTATCCTAAGATTGGTACAAGTCACTGTCCTATATATTCTATGCTTTTTCATTATAATCTCTAAGATTCTCAGAAGTTTTCAAACATCAGCTTCATGTAAGGAAGAACTACCATAGCTAACCCAGATTTTAACCTTGAACTCTAGGCTTTCTGTGGCATTGATTATTAGACATTTTCACAAAAAATCCAGCCTTTCTCTCAAATTCAACAAGCCAAATCAATTGCCTCCACCAACTTCCCTACTAAGTATACTGCTCACACAAATTCATTGTCCTTATCCAAATTTTCATTATAGAGCACCACTTTCCAGTTGCTTAAGTTTAAATCCTGAATGGCATCTTTCCTTAAATCTATCTATCTCATCTACTTTGTCCAATCAAATACAAAGCCCAGGCAATTTTACCAGCTCCAGAACACGTCCATTTCCCTCTACATCCTGTATCCACTGCTCAGACCATTTTATTTTTGTATATTGCTGCTATTCCAGCACGGGAGTGCTCTCTTTGCTTCCTTGTTCCTTTTCCACTTGAGACCATAGGACCTTGTACTCCTGCCTATAGCATTCTCTACTGACCTAAAGATCACACTAGAAAGCCTTCTCAGAGCTCACTGGAACTTTCAGGGCCTGTCCCTGATTTCTAGCCTCATCCCATCCACTCAACCCACTTGTATTCTAGTTTCAAACACAGCTAGCATATTATATTCTCTTAGAGACCTCTTTGTGCTCCCTTCCCTTGTCTGACACACTCCTCCTCCCCTCTCACCCAGCTCATCCCTATTCAGTCCTCAAGTCTTGTCTTAGGCACCATACCCTCTGGGAAGCCTCATTGAGTGATCTAGATCCACGCTCCCTAGGTATTCCTAACACTTTGCATACACCACTGACAAAAGTCTGCACCCACTGTCACTTCCCCAAAATTCTTACTAGGCTGCTTGCTAACTAGCATACCCTGAGACCAAAGTAGGTATCTAATAAAAATTTACTAAATACCATGGAAATTACATCTTTAATAAATTCAACCTTCAAAAACGAACATCACATAGAATTTTTGTTCAGGCTCAACCTTGTGCTCCACTGCTTTTTCTTCTGCCTTCTGCATCTCTGCTTTGAGTTGCTTCTCCATGTCTGAGGAAGAACACTTGGCAGAGGCAATAGTGATATCTCGCTGATGCAGCTCCCGAGTTAACTGAGAGATTTCTACCTTCATTCCTTCCAGTGCAGAGCTATAACTCTGGTCAGCCTGTAAAATCTGTTCTTTCAACTACAAAACAGGAGAAAGTAAAACAAGAAAAGTTAAGAGAAATCATTTAGACAGAAAAATATATGAATGGTTAATAAACAAAGATATCATTACCTTATCTCAGGACAACATCTTTCCTGGACTAACTCTGCAGAAAATTAGCAATTTACCAATTTCCATATCTACACTGAAGATCAGGAGGTTATACCCATCATCATTTATTATTTCTCAAAAAGAGAAAGCTTTCATTGAGACATGTTTAAAATAATATTTAGAGTTCAGAATGATCAGGCTTTGATTATCTTGACAATAATTAAATACCAAAAGAAAGAAGGCACTTGCCCTAAGCACATTCTACTCCTAAATATTAAGTGGTTCTTTGGACTACATTTTTTCCTCCCACTGAAAATAACCCCTATAGATTTATATTCAGAATATATAAAGAATTCAAAAAACTTAACGCCAACTCCAATCAATAAACAGATTTAAAAAACAAACAAACAAACAAAAAAAAACCTAAAATACATTTCTCAAAAGAAGAAACACAAAAGACCATCAAATATACGAAAATAAAATGTTCAACATCTCTAGAAATCAGGGAAATGCAAATCAAAACTACATTAAGATTTTGGGCTGGGGATATAGCTCAGTTGGTAGAGTGCTTGCCTCACATGCACAAGGCCCTGGGTTCAATCCCCAGCACCAAACAAACAAACAAACAAAAAAAACTACACCAAGTTTCATCTCGCTCTAGTCAAAATAGCAATTACCAAGAATACAAATAATAATAAATGTGGTGAGGATGTAGGGGAAAAGGTACACTCATATACTTTTGGTGGGACTAAAAATTAATACTACCACTCTAGAAACCAATATAGAAAATCCCCCCCAAAAACAGAACTGAAACTAACTATCCCACTCCTCAGTTTTTAATCAAAAAACAAAAACAAAACACTAAAACTGGCACACTACTAGTTTTACAGTCAATGTTTATAGCAGCACACTTTACAATAGCCAAATTATGGAACCACACCCCCAAATGCCTGTCAATATAGGAATGGATCAAGAAAATGTGGTCTATATTACACAATGGAGTTTTACTCAGCCATAAAGAAGAGTAAAATTATGGCATTTGCCAGTAAATAGATGGAATAGAGAACATCATGCTAAGTGAAATAAGCCAGATTCAGAAAATCAAAGGTCATGTGTTCTTTCATATGCAGAATCCAGAGCAAAATAAGGGGATAAAGGGAGAATCCAATATCATAAAAATATCAGTGGAGCAGAGGAGGAGCCTGGGAGGGAGGGAAGGAAAAACAGGAGAGGGAATGAATTTAATGAAATAAAGCTATGTGCATCTATAAATCTACCACAGAAAATTCTACCTTTATGTATAAATCAAAATAAATAACCTAGTGAAAGGAAGTTCAGTAAAGTAGAAAAGAGGAATAGGGGGAGGGAGGAGGAAAGGGAATGTGGAGAGCAGGGACTGAAATAGAGTAAATCAAATTCCATGCATGTATGATTTTGTCAAAATGAACCAAACTAGTATGCTCTTAAAAAAAATAAAAATAAAAAAATGATCCACAAGATCCATTTCATAACCCTTCACAATTCCGAAAAAATAAGTAAAGACTTCTCTAACCTCCCAATCCATACCTCAGTCTAAAAATATGTCCAGTTTTGTGATCCCAGGCATACAGGTTTTTACCTTCTTAATCTCTGCCCTGTACTCATTGTTATGTCCTTCCATCTTCTTTAGTTCTTCATATTTCTCCATTAGCTCTTGGCTCAGCTGTTTACATGTTGCACTCACAGATTCCAAACTGTATTACACAGACACAGTCACATATTTAAAACAAAATAAAAGTCCTGAAACCCACAAGTTAAATTATCTAATTTACTTTTTTTTTTTTTTTAAATCACCCAGTGCAGAGGATGGAACCCAGGGCCTCACACATGCTAGGCAAGCACTTACCACTAAGCTACACTTCAGTCTTCCAATTATCCTTCTTGATGACCAGAAAATATCCAGCCACTATGTTAAAACATTAATCTACAGCCCAAATTAAAACTTATTCCAATGTCTTTAGGACCATCCAAATGTTTGGCAATACTTTTGATTTCCGTATTTACCTATACTTCTCTCTGCTTAAAATTAAACTCGCTACAAAAAATCATAAAGTTAACAAAAATTTCATTTTTTTATCTCTAATTTACCAGAGAGCACCAACACAGAGCTGTTACCATAGACTCACTTTTCACAACACATAATTACATACAATCCTATGCATAGCCACAAGGATAACTTTTCAAGAGTTCCTGACTCATTACCCTTACTCAAGAATCAATACTTCATCAGATATAAAAACCTAAGAAGAGAGGTATAGTGTCTCTCTTGGCTCACGCTCATTTCTATTAATATGATCTTTTTGCTCCTAAGTTGATAAACCTCATGGTTTATCATTTGCTATGCTGGCTTCTTGTCTCTTAGTGTATCACCTCCTGGACTACAAAGTACCTCCTTCCCCTCCCACCTGGCAATGGATGGCCAACACCCTTTCAAAGAATAAAATTAGCATTTCCCAAATTAAAGGGACTCAAACACTCACTCCCCTAATGACCTCAAATACAATTTATTTTCAATTCTTATAGTTTGAATGTAAAACTCTTCTTGGATTTTCTGCCTCAAATTTGGTTGTTTGAATTCCTCTTAGAATAAGTCTTTCACTGCTTATCTCCCTACAAATTTAGCCATTATCCCCTCAGCCCTTACATCATATGGTTCTCAACTGTTTCATAAATATTTAATATTCATCTACATTCTTTCATCAACATAACCAACTTACCAAATAAACTATTATTTGAAAATATCATTTTTGTAATATAAGAGCACAAAAAGACTTAATTAAATTTCCCCATTTCCTGTTTTAGGAAATATTTTGTTCGAACAATACAAACCATTTAAAATAGTACTCTTTTATTTTATGGTTTTTTTGAAAGAAAAAAAATTTAAGCCACTGGTTTATTACTGAACATTGGTGTTTGTATCCATTTATTCTAATTTTACCTATTTCTAAAAATCCTAAAATGTTCATTTGTTTAGTACTTGGTACATGATTGCAATGTGCCAAATACTGAAGTTCAGAGAGAAGAAAAATCAGAAACCATCTTGTACTCTCTGCTGATGGGAAAATCAGGGCCTATAGAGGCTCAAGTGCCCAAAGTAATGCTACCGGTCAGAAACACTGACAGCTTCAACGCCTGAAAAGGACAGTAAAATAAATATACATATAAAAGATTAAAAAAAAAGTCCATCAACAAAAAAAATGTAATAAACTTCAGTTCCAATATCAAAAATATGATGAACTTTATTTTATTTAACCTAAAGCATGTATACATGCAAAGAATGCACACAAAGAATATGTTGAGTATACCAAAAGAAACAAAAATATGTGCGTGTGGTGGTGGGCTGCAGTATTTAACATGGAGAGAAAACACTCAGAAAATACTGAGTGGTTTCCAAATTCAGAAATAAAACTGAAGACAAAAAAAATGTATTACTTAAAGTTAACCTAAAAAGAATGGCACTTTTTGTTGATGTTCTTTGTTTCCCTGAAAGACAATAGTATTTCTGATCTTCTACATACAGAAAATGTTAGTATACTAATGATTGTGATTAATATGGTCACAACAAACATAAAACTTGTTTCCCAGTCAAAAAGGTTGGAAGCAGGACAACAGGAGTTAGTTGGGTATAGTGTGGCATTGGTCAGGATTCAATTAACATCCAAGGAAATCTCAACATGGCGGCAGAACAAAAAGGAGGAGCACTGCGTGTTCTGTGAACTCTCCAAGCCAAACTAAAGGGGTTCTAAACAAGTTAAGGATAAAGAAGTAGAAACAGTACAGACAACTCCTTAAAGAATGTTCTTTTTAAAGAGAGCAGGAAAATGTGAAAGTGATATAGGATTAAAGGAGGGTTCTAATTTTTTCCAAAATGAGAGCTATTACACTGATTATTTTATATCAGTGGAAAAGATCTAACAGAGACGAAGAACTTCATGAAGTAGAAGAAAAAAGGAAATAGCTTCAGAAACAGGATACAAATGGATGGGTAAATCTTAGGAGCACAGAAGTACATCTATCTGTTCATCCACAGATTATGGGCACAGATGTAGCAGACCAGTAGATCTGGTGGTAGAAAGATTAGATAGAAAAATTAATTGAATACGTTTTCTCAAAGAAATAAAAAGTCATCTGTGGATGCTAGAGGGGAAAAAAAAAAAAAAAAAACTTTCCCTGAGACTATTATATTACCATACTGGATAAATACAGTGATCAAAAATTCATCTTAAAAATTAGGTTTTTGAGCTGGGTGCAGTGGCACACACCTGTAATCCCAGCAGCTCAGGAGGCTGAAACAGGAGGATCACAAGTTCAAAGCTAGCGAGGTGCTAAGGAACTCAGTGAGACCCTGTCTCTAAATAAGATACAAAATAGGGCTGGGGGTGTGGCTCAGTTCAATCCCCAGTACCAAAAAAATTTTTTCGGTTTTTGAAATGTGTATATAATTATCTACCTGCCTTCAAGACGAGTCACCTCTGCCTGCAGAAGTTCTTCACTTGCATGGGTGAAATCCAGATGGGAAAGCATACTATCTATGTCCTCCTGCCCTTGAGGGGTGTACTTTCTTTCTGCCTGGGACTCCTCCAGTGGCCTATGGAAGGACACAAATGATTGTTACAAGCCTTTAATCGTTGCAAACAAAAACAATGCACAGTCTATTCCCAACTGTTTTGGGTAATTAAGCTCTTAAGAATTCATCAGTTTGTCTCCTGCTTTATGAAAAAAATACTGGGAGAGCAGAGTCAAGAGATGCTATTTCCCAAGAGTCAGCAGCAATTTACTCCCTTCGTAACTGGGATTTGGCCTGGGGAAAAGCCAGATTAAATGGCAAAATCACCTTCTTGACACATACGTCAAAGATAAGATACAGGACAGTTCTGGAAAGAATAAAAGTATTCTAGAGTTAAACAAAAGGAAAATAGCTCACTCTATTACTTTCCACTAAAAACCCTACTAATTCATATGAAAAACTAAAACTAGTTTTAGGAATATTTTTAAAAGGGTTAGCTTGATCATTACCTACTCTACACCAAGGGAGGGAGATCTTCCAGGAAGGGACTACAATTCCCTTCGGATCTGGATTTTACCAAGAGTGTGGAATAAGGATTTCTAACTTTCTAAATGTCAGCCTTGGTTAGGAACCCAAAATGAAAGCACAAAAACTAACCATTCAAAGTTTTATAACCCTACAAAAATCTAACTTAGAAATCAAAACTGAGTAAGAAAATCCACAATATAATCAAACACAAAATTGTGAACATGCAGTATCAATGCTTAAAGTCAAACCACCAAGTAGGTAAAATGAATAATAGTTAAGATTAAACACACCTTATGGCCTCTGGTGTCTGTTGAGTGCCAGTTACTTTTAATTTTGCTTGTAGCTTCTCCTTTTGCATTTTTGCCTCACGGATGAAATTTTCTTGAGTCTGAAGATTTGCCTTCAATTCTCTCTTTTCATCCTGCAGAGCCTGCAAAGTACTCAGGGGGGAGGGGGGAATTATACAGTATTACAATTCTTCTATTTCATCAGAAAAGGAAGCCAAGGAATCAAACTGTACATAACAGGCACTACTACAGCCATCTATATCTGAGCCATCAGTTATAGAGTAGGGAAGAACCACAGATTTTGGAACCTAGTTCTAGGTTAATTATTCTCTTAGAATACTCATACACACGTTTCCCTCAAGTCTAGTAATTTTAAAACACACCTCTAATAGTTTCTCAGATTCCCTCAGTTTTTCTTCTTTTTGTMGCTGCTCCTGCAGAATAGTCATATTGGTTCCAACCAAGTCATTAACCCTCATGTTAAGGCGCTCAATTTCCAACTCATTGGCACAGATGGTGTCCTTGGCTCGCTCAAGTTTACTGCTCAGGTGCTGAATTTCCGATTGGCTGGATAGCTCTACAGACTCTAATTTCTGTTTCCGATTGCTGAGCTGAGCCTACAAACACAGATTATCAATGAGTAAAAGGGAAATGATGAAAGAACAAACAATGAATAAGGAAGAATAAAATAAAACTGAAAAACAGAAAGCATTAACTCACTAAAAAATATAAGTACCTTAGGAAGGTGTAGAAAAAAATTGAGAAAATAAGGGGATTCTTCAGAAGAGATGCTGCCCAACTAACTAAAAAGACCACAGTTGCATTATTCCACCTACACATAGGAAATTAGAACTATAATACATTATCCTATTTCTGATAGAAATTCAGATATTAAAATTGTAAAAATCACCAAACTTCTTAAATTTTCACTCTCTACCCACCCCCAAAGTATGTTTATGTTGTATGTAGTTTAAATATTGTTTTAACATTCTTTTCAGATACATACAAAGACTTGGATTCAGATTATTCAAAATGACCAGAAAATGCTATCTAAATCTGGTAGGGAGACTGAAGAATTGTATTTACTGAGGAAAAGTACTTGAAGGAAAGGGGGAGATTATATCTATCATCAGTTTTTGGACATTTCCTAAGCTAGAAGATTTAACCAAATATAACATATTTGAAATTAGTTTCTTTCTTTCTTATTAGTACTGGAAATTATACCAAGGGGCACTTTATTAATGAGCTACATCGAAAATCCTTTTAATTTTTATTTTATTTTGAGATGGGGTCTTGATAAGTTTGTTTAGAGTCTCACTACATTGCTGAAGTTATGGCTAATTTATCTAAGCAAACCAGTTCATCTAGATTGGCAACTTCAAACCTAAACAACTTTCTAGTTTTGAAAAATCAACATAGTAAATTGCATTCTTTTATTGATTTACTATTTCAGTCGTGCAAAAATACATAGGTTTTTTTAAAAGCACAGTGAAAAATAATCATCTTAAGTAAAAATTCTAAATTTTCATTAACTAGAATTAATATACTAGGCTTTACTGTCTAATATGGTAGTCACTCGTCATATGTGGCTATTAAGCATCTAAATTTGTGACTAGTTTGAACTGATATATGTTTCAGATGTAAAATATACATGGAATTTCAAAGGTTCGGTTTAAAAAAAAAAAAAAAGACTGGAGTCAGGTGCGGTGATACACACATATAGTCCCAGCGACTCAGGAGACTGAGACAGGAGGATCACAAGTTCAAGCCAGCATCAGCAACTTGATGAGGCCCGAGGCAACTTAGGGAAACCCTGTCTMAAAAAAAAAAAAAAAAAATCAAAAGGCTTGTGGATGTAGCTCAGTGGTAAAGTACCCCTCAAAAAACATTTTTAAAAGAATGTAAATATGATGATAATATTATTGACATACCAGATTAAATAAGATATTATTAAAATTAATTTCAAGTTTTTTAATGTGACCACTAGAAATTTTTAAATTACATATTTCAATTAGCACTGCATTGTACTAATCTCAAGAATACCTCTTCCAATACTAAGAAAAGTCAGAAAAAATCAAGTAAGCCACTTATAAAACAATGATCATTTATTTCCTAAATTTCTGCCTTTTGAGGCACATTTTAACGTTAATATATTTTTAGATTTTTTTTTTTTTGCACTGAGTACTGCCACTAATTAAACAGAAACCAGAAACATCTCTTAGTGTTCTAAGATTCAGTTCTTTAACTAGTCTACTTAAGTGAGTGGAGTTATTTCAACAACATGAATCACAGTGAAAATAACTAACGAGGAAAGAGCCAAGTTTATGGTGACAGACACAGCAGTGCTGGAAGCTTCTCAGGCTCCTCAGGCTGCAGCCTAGTGTGCTGCTGCAGAGCTGAGCCTGCACTGATACATCTGGAATTGACATGATGGGGAGTTTGCTAAGGGTCTGATGACTACAATGGTAATGCCTTCATACTAGGACTCCCTAAAAAATGAAAAGCTCTTGTTGCTCCTTAACCTGTTGTTCTCAGTAATCTCACAATCTGAGAAGTTTTCTTGATGAACCAGGAAATATTATCACAAATCAGAAAAAGATTTCAATTCAACCCCCATCCCAAGCCCTTCCCTACTGTCTCTCTCACTTTAGCTGTCCACTCTAATAACAGTTATCATTCCCTGAATTTTAGAATAATTCTGTCAAATCCTTATGATATAGACAAACATTTGAAAAAATTGAGACCTCTATCAAATAACTGATACCACAATAAATTTTATATTAAATGTATTTTAAAAAATCAGAAATCATTAGAAGAAATCTTGTCCTTTTATGACATGAAAGAAACCCTAAAGAAGAAACGTATATAGTGGTAAGCAATTCTAATATTGCTTATAAACAACTATATTTCTGTAAAAAAAAAAAAAAAAGGCTACTTGGCAAAATTAAAAGTAAACTGGGTAAAGCACACACAACCTAAATGTAATAGCAAAGGGCTTATACTTCATACTTAATGTATGAAAAGCTCTTTCAAAATAGTAAAACACACACATCCTAAAAGAAAAATGAGTAAAACATGCAAATAATTTGGAAAATCATGAAAACAGAAACAAGAAAAGTTTTTTGTTCTTTATATATCCTGCTCAACTTCACTCATAATTAAAAAATGATAAGCAAAAGAAATAATTAGACGGTATTACTGGAAGAAATAGCCTATTCAACAAATAGGCTGGAAAACTGATGTTGGGAAAACTGGAAATCCATATGTAGCAAAATGAAATTAAAACCCCCACCCTGCACAAAAAACAACCCAAAGTGGATCAAAGACTTAGGCACTAGAACAGAGACCCTTCACCTAATATAAAAAAAACTAGGCCCAAATCTCCACCATGGTGGCTTGGAACCTGACTTCCTTAACAAGACTCCTAAAGCACAGAAGTAAAATTAAGAATCAAGAAATGAGATGGAGGGGCCGGGGTTGTGGCTCAGTGGTAGAGCATTCACCTAGCACGTGCAAGACGCTGGGTTCAATCCTCAGCATCACATAAAAATAAATAAAAATAAAGGTATTGTGTCCATCTACAACAACGCCAACAACAAATTTTTTAAAGAAATGGGCTGGTTTCAAACTAAAAAGCTTCTTCTCAGCAAAGGAAACAATAATAATGTGAAGAGAGAGCCTACAGATTGGGAGAAAATCTTTACCACACACACTTCAGATAGAGCACTAATCTCCAGGATATATAAAGAACTCAAAAAACTTAACACCAAAAAGAACAAACAACCCAATAAATAAATGGGATAAGGAACTGAACAGACACTTCATAGAAGAAGAAACACAATCAATTAATAAACATGAAAAAATGTTCATCATCTTTAGCAATTAGAGAAATACAAATCAAAACTACGCTAAGATTTTATCTCATTCCAGTCAGAATGGCAATTATCAAGAATATAATGGTAGTTGGCAAGGATGTGGGGAAAAAGTACACTCATATATTGCTGGTGGGACTGCAAATTGGTGCAACCACTGTGGAAAGCAGTATGGAGATTCCTCAGAGAACTTGGAATGGAACTATCATTTGACCTAGCTATCCCACTCCTTGGTTTATACACAAAAGACTTAAAAGTAGCATACTACAGTGACACAGCCACATCAATGTTTATAGCAACTTAATTCACAATAGCTAAACTATGGAGCCAACCTAGATGCCATCAGACAGATGAACGGACAATGGGATATTACTCAGCCTTACAGAAGAATGAAATTATGGCATTTGTAGGTAAATGGATGGAGCTGGAGAATATCATGCTAAGTGAAATAAGGCAAACTCAAAAACCCCAATATTTTCTCTGATAAGCATATGCTGATCCATAATGGTGGGGTGGGGGTAGGAAGGAATGAAGGAACTTTGGATTGTGTATAGGGGAATGAGAGGAGGCTGGGAGAGGTACGGTGGGATGAGGATGGGAAGGATGGTAGAATAAGACAGACATTATCACCCTATATACATGTATGATTACACTACCAGTGTAACTCTGCACCATGTACAGACAGATCAATGTACACAATTCATTTGTGTACAATATGTCAAAGTGCATTCCACTATCATGTACAACAAATAAAAACCAATTAAAAATTTAAAAACATTTAAAAAATTATATAGTATTTTTTTACTTTTAAGATTAGAAAAGATAAGCCTAAAGGTGGAATAACTAAAAAAATATAATAATAGTGCCCTGTTTGGGGGAAGTGTAAGGAAATGGTCATTCTCACACATTGCTGAAAGACATCCCTATCAATTCATCTTGCAGAGCACTTGGAAAGATACATTAAAATCTTTAAGAATGTACAACTACTCTGATGCAGCAATTTCATTCTAGGGCCATTAAAAAGATAAATGGGCAGACACTCCTAAATGTTCATAGAAGGATGTTCATCGAAGCACAATTCATAAGACTGAAAAATTTAAAACTAAATTTCTATAGTAAGGAATTGTTTACACAAATTATAATACCTTTAATGGGAAAATGAACTTCTTGCAATCATGATAACTTCACATTTGCTCACATGTCACCTTTAAATAGGAAACATCTTAAAGCATTGAAAATTACAACACTGTATTATAAAGTACTTAGCATAGTGACTGTCACAATAAACACTCTACACAGTTTTAAATTATATTTCATGGAAAAGTTCAAACACACAAAGATTCAGAGATATAAGATGATGATCCTCCATATACTCATCATTTACCTTCAAAACTTACAACAATTTGCTATTGTTATTTTTTTTAAGTATAAAACTACTCCTCCCATCCCAAATCAGAGCATTCAACTTAATTTCTAATAAATGTGCAGGAATGTAACAGTCTGCATTATATAAGCACAGAAAAATTTAATCAAAATGTTAATCATGATGAATCTCTAGAATGAAATGATGGATGATATTATTTCTCATTTTATCTATATTTTCTCATTCTTATAAAATGAACATATATGTAATTTTAATAGCTGACTAAAAAGAATTCAAGGAAATATGTAACACAAAAAGAAGCTACTTCTGAACTCTATTTTTAGATGCTAACGATATGCAAGAAATAAATTATACCAAGAATTTTTTTAAATGGGAGTGGTGATGTGTTGATATCTACCCACAGAAATTCCTGGCTTTTCTACTGTTATTGTTCAACGGTGACCTATACATCAACCAAGTGTAATGAATCGATCTTGACTAGACTCCTGACTATAAAAGTTACATCCAACAATGAAAGGACAGTTTTTAGATACTGGAGAATTTGAACAGACTGGAAATTAAAATTATATTAAGAAGATATTATTTTGTTAATGTAATACTGTAATTACTGTAGTTTTTTTTTTTAAGTCCTTATTTGTTGAGAAAGATGATAATGTCTATGATTTGCTTTGTTACAGCCTAGCCAAACAAAAAATGTGAGGAAGGGAACACAGTTTTAGTTTTAGTTTTGCAAGATGAAAAAGTTCTAGAGATCTATGGTACAACCATGTGCATACAGTTAATATGATTGCAGTGTACACTTAAAAATTGCTTAGGTGACAAATTTTGTTATGTTTTTAATCACGATTTAAAAACAAAAACAAAAAAAAATGGCAACATGATGGTAGCTATTAGTGCTGGGTAACAAGTACACAGAAGTTTATTTAAATGTTTAAATAAACTTTTTTTTTAATATTTATTTTTCAGTTTTCAGCGGACACAACATCTTTGTTTGTATGTGGTGCTGAGGATCGAACCCGGGCTGCACACATGCCAGTCGAGCGCACTACCGCTTGAGCCACATCCTCAGCCCCTAAATAAACTTAATATACATCATCATACATAGTGAGTCACAGAAAGGTTTAATTTTATTTAGTTTGCCAAGAGAAACAGAGACACACATTTATAAGTGACAATTTAGTTAAACATTCAGTTTTAGTTTAAACAAAACTATCAGAAGAATAGTTCACATATTCTTAGTAGGGAAAACAGATGTTGGCTCTCTGAAGGCTGCTTATTCTAGCTCTAGTTGAATTATGGTAAATAAAAATCCCCTTTTATTAACAATGAAGTTTTAATTAGACAGCTAATAATCACAATAATAATTTGAAATTGGAAAACAGCAATTTAAAAAAAGGATCTACAATCAGTAATAACACCATGGATAAATAATCGCAAACTGAAAAAATTAAGACACAATTTGCTTTTTTTGCAATCTGAAGGCTACATTTAGAATAGAACAATGTCTTATAGCAATTAAGTTTGCATAGTGCTTTAGCACTCAGATCAAAAAATCCTGTTGAATTTTGTTGTCCTGTACAGGCTCAGTAGCTTCCTATACCTTAAAATATATTTTTTTCCTTGGAATTGCTATGGGTCCTCTCCTGTCATTCTGAGTAGAGTCACATACAGCAGAGCTATTCTTGATAGTTTACCTGACAGCTGACATTTCAGGAAAATGAACAAAATGTTAATATAGTATGAAGACTTAAAACAACAAATAGCCTGTTTAAAAACAAAAACAAAATTTCTGTCTAGCTCTCTTAACCAGTCTTCTCTCATTCTATAAACTGAAATAACTACTAACCTTGTCAGATTTTCATATTAAACAAATAACATATAAACTGCATGTAGGAAGCAGAGAAGCAGAGGTGGTGTCTAGAACATAACAGATGGTTACAAATATTCATTTCCCTCTATGTTCTCATTTTTTAATTAAAAAAGTAAGTCAGGTGTGGTGGCGCATGCTTGTAGTCCCAGTGGCTTGGGAGGCTGAGACAAGAGTATCATAAGTTCAAGGCTAGCCTCAGCAATTTAGCAAGACTGAAAGCAACCTATTGAGATCCTGTGTTAAAAAAAAGGGGGGGGCCTAGGATGTGTATTAAGCACTCTTAGGTTCAATCCCTGGTATCTCCCCTACCCCCGAAAAAAAGGAGCTACAAAAATCCTAAGAAGACAAAATACCTAAATTAGGTATCTATATGGGTGTGTGTCTGTTTGTTTATTGATGCCAGAGGTTGAACCCAGAGGCAGTTAAGCACTCAGCCACATCCCCAGCCCTTTTTTATTTTTCATTTTGAGATAGGATCTCACTAAGTGCGGAGGCTGGCTTTGAACTTGAAATCCTCCTGCCTTAGCCTTTCAAGCCACTAGGATTACAGGGCAGGCCATTATTTTTGTTTAAGCTACTAGTTCTTCATAAAAATTTCTACCACTGTTCTAAGTGTTTCTGCAACCAAAAAGATATTACTTTTAGTAATATCTTTTAGTACACAGCAATGCAGTGTGACTCTCTCAGCTTTTGTTTCCAAACAAGCAGACCAGCTGAGCTTAGGCACCTCAGTGGAGGTATCTAATTATCAGAGAGATAAATCCAGGCATAGACAGAAGTAGAGAAAGCCAGGAGACCAATGAAAAGGAGAAAAGAGAGAAGAGTGGAAGAGAGAAGGGAAGGACAGAGAGACCAAGATTAGGAGAGTGCACCTGAGAGAGCAAAGGAGCAGGCAGGCAGGAGGACCCAGTGTGGTTAGAAGAGTGAGCCTTAAGGAGTGACTGCTGCTCTGCAGGAGGGAGGGGAAGGTGTCCTGAGCATGTCTAGTTGTTGAAAAGGATAGGCCCATAAGGAGAGGAGAGAGGATTTACTACACAAGAAAGAAAGCAGGCTTAGCAGAGAGAAGCTGAGAAAGAAGGAAGTTGTATTACCATAGGTCAGATTTAATCAAAACCTATCTGCCTCTCATTATGTTAAAATGTCTTAACTTACCTGAATTATCTCTGATTGTTCAGCTAGAGCCTTCCTTTGTGCCTCCAGAGAAGATACCTGTTGCTGATAAATCAAGCGCTGCTTCTCCCAGTCCAGTGATTTCTGACGAAATTCCTGAGGAGCCAATTAAGGTACTTAACTTTTAAGTGCTTCCCCTTGCTGTCACTACTTCCCAGATTCACTTTTGCTTTAATTTTTCCCCACTTCCCTGGATACACTTGCACCTTTCTCCACAGCAGGAGCCCCATTACTCACTTAGCTGACAGAACTGCAGAGCAATACTGAATTCCTCTCATACTGTGCCTTTGGATATCTGTCTTTCTAAATTTAACACCCTAATGGTGAAAAGTATGAAACACAGATGCTGAACAGAGGGTCCATAACCATCTTCACAGATTTGCTGCCACCTAAGGGTTGTTATCATTTTCTAGTGATTTTTCAGAAGACTGATACTAAGATAACTAAAATTTCAAAATATGACTACATACACCCTCCTTATTCAAATTCTTGATTTCCAGACCCAGGAACTGAACAGATTCAAGTATATTTATGGGTAAGTCCATCGGTAGCCCAATCCTTCTCAGTATTTAAGTCTTAGGAACCAAGTAGTTTCAGATAACACAATATCCTTAATAGACAAATTTTTATTACCTCAACAGAAGATCTTGAATAACATGGGAATTCTGACTAAAATTTTATTTATAACCCAAAACTAAAGAGTTCAAAATTAATGATGGATCAGCAGCAACTCCAGATTGCAAGATAAAAAAAATAAACCCAATCTTTATTAAATGGGGTACATCAAAGGGAAAAAAAACTATCAGGGTCCCTTCTAAGAGGGTCCTTTAGGACCTCAACTCTAGACATCTCATACTCCTTAGGATAATTATTGATAATCAGATTTTTTATATCCACACAATCATTCTATTATACATACCAGTACTCATGTGGGTGCTGGGGATACAATGTTTAATAAACAAAATCCTAGCCAACTCAATTGAAGGGCAACATATAACACATTCATCATATAGTACTTTATATGGCAATTTGTTTTTTGGAGAAAACAGAGCATAAAATGTTCAGAGATGGGGGTTGTAATTTTTTAAAGGGGCTAGCTAAACAGAGTAAATAATATTTAAGTAAACATCTAGGGCCATGAAGAGGAAGCTGTACTATTCCAGGCAGAGGGAACAGCCTTGAAGTGGGAACATCCTTATTTGTTTAAGGAGGCTGGTATGGTTGGAAAGGAATGACTAAAAGAGAAAGTAGCATACAAGATCAGAGAATTAACAAGAAATGAGGCATGTACAGAATTATAACTGGCTTTTAAGAGAAGCTACTCGAAGGTTTTTGTATAGGACATGATTTGACTTTCACTACAACAGAATCACTCTGGTTATTGTGCTGAGAAAAGAAAGGTCAAGGAAGCTACAAGAGAAAGAACTGGGAAACTGAGAAATGGAGCTACCATCACCTGAAATGGCAAATGGTGTTGGGGAGATGAAGAAAAAAGTCAAGACCTTTACTTTGGACATGCTAAGATTGACACAGTTCTAGACATTGTAGTAGATATGTAAAACAGGTAGTTTAATGTTACTCTGTAACAACGAGGAGAGATCACAGCCAGGTATTTGGGAATTGTCAACATATACAATGTTAAAACTATAAGACTGAAGGAAACCACCAGGGGAGTGAACATAGAGATAGACAGACAGACAGATGAGTGTGTCAGAAGATGAGTGTGACATACAGAAGAAATTGTGATGTTTCTCAAAGCCAAGTCAAGAAAGTGTTTTGAGGAAGAGGGAAAGACCAGCTGAGTCTAATGCTGCAAAGATAATAAGGATGCTGAGGAGTGGCCATAGGCTTTAGGAATGTGGAGGCTACTGGTGACCTCCATGCAAATAGCTTCTAAAACACGAGGAGAAAAAAGCTTTACTGGGTATGTGCAAGAAAGTTGGCAGATTATTATTTTTTATTTGTTCTTTTAATATATACATGACAGTAGGGTGTATTTTAACATATACATATTTGGAATATAACTTTAAAATACCCCCCGCCTCCAAAAAAAAGAAAGAAAAAGTGGGAAAAAAAGAACTGGAGACAAGATTAGGTGCCTGAAGTGATTTAGCTGTAAAATGAAAAAGAAAGATGAGACAGAGGAGGGAGGGAGGGGTCAAGAGAGGTTATTTGAGAGAAATCTAGATGCTCGTGGAAAAGATCCAATAAGGCAGATTCAAAAGAGAGAAGGAAAATTGCTAGAGGATGTCTTGGGTGGAGGAGAGGGAAGGCAGAGCCAGTTCCTCCAGTAGGGAGGGAAGGCAGGGCACCTGGGCACTGACACAAGTAGGTGGGTAGATACAGTGTTAGAAGTCTGAACAGAAAGGAAGCTATCACTTGAAGGTGAGGACATGGGAACAAGTGTGGAAAGACTAAAGAGAAAAGAAGTATGAAAGAGTCACTGTGGAAACTTGGGAGAGAAAGAGGAAATACAGTATGATTCCAGGTAATGGTAGGAGTCATTTGAGGTCAATGACTATGAATTTAAAATAAGGTCCTCCAGCATGGTTATGTTCAGCCACTTGTGGCAGGCAGAGTGGGCAGAAAGGCAGAATTAACTAGAGCTGTGGTTTTGACAGGCAAAAGGAATGAAGTGAGAGAGGGTCATAGAAGATGAAGGGGAATATAAGGAATACAACCATGAACTTCACACTGGATAAGGACTCTTAAGTGAGAGCACAGTAGACAGAGCAGTGAAATATACCATAATTCAATCATTTTAAGGAATGGGTAATGATTATTAAGTATCAAAGGATTAAAGGAAATGAGTTGAAAGGATAGAGATGGTGGCTAAAAATGAGATTCTAAAGAGATTGCAAACACTGGTAAAGACAAGGAATGACAAAAGGAAAAAATGAATGAGACAAAGAAGATATCAATATATGTATGAAGGCTGGGAGCAATGGCGAACACTTAGAATCTAAGAAACTTGGAAGGTTGAATCAGGAGGGTCACAAATTCAAGGCCAGCCTCAGAGACTTAAAAGAGACCTTTAGCAACTTAATGAGACCCTGTCTGGAAAAAAAAAAAGAGAGAGAGAGAGAGAGAGAGAGAGAGAGAGAGAGAGAGAGAGAGAGAGAGAGAGAGAGAGAGAGAGATAGATAGATAGATAGATACTGGGTTCAAGCCCCAGTTACAAAAAAAAAGGAAACAAGAAAGAAAGAATAGGATGCCAAGAAACCCAAGATCAGGGTATTAGAAGCATCATCCTTGTAGACAGTGAAATCCTCAAGAGCTATGATAAGAGTAATAATGTTAGGGAGAAAAATAATGCACTGGGAGCTGAAATCTATGGGCCTGATATGTAACCTAGACTCAGGAGCTGGTCTCTTAGGTTACATTATACGTATACTGGTGGGTGTTATGGGTTGATGACATGAACGTTAAAAGTGGGGTTTCAGAGGTAGAAAAAGAACAGAAAGGTCAGGAAGTAGCAACAAGGAACAAGAAGGATATAGGAATTGGGGGGAGAAAGTATCAATGAAAAGGGCTGGGGGAGAGCAATATTTGTGTTGAACTGTTCTAAAATTAGAATCAGCTAGGGAAGCTGGACAAAATGCAGATCCCTAGATCCTGTGCCATACTCCTAGAAGGGAATTTTAGAAAGCCTGAAAGACTGAGTGATTCTTAGGTACAGTGAAGAACTAATGGGAAGACAGATGTACAAAGAGGGGCAGTCCTGTGCTGCTCCTTCCATTCTCAGCAGTGTTGACTCACCACCTCCTCTTAGGTCCTCTGGAGCCAAACAAACACAATAGCCATGGAGTTACTCAGTAAAAACAAAATCAGGAAAAGTGGAGGTGAATACCTTGCTCTATCTAAATGGGAACTGAGAATAAACAATCTGATATACAGAGCACTATGCAGAAAAACAACAACAACAAAAAAACGGACTTTCAGTATTTACTAAGCCCCTTCTCTACCAGCTTGAGATACAGTAAGTGAGACAAGGACGTTGCTAATGGAGGACCACTAGATAGTGGAGATACTGGGTACAATACTCCTTTTTAGGATATAGTCTCAGTCATGGTTTCGATCTCTGGTCCCTGTTGCTTAAATGCTAGTTTCATGCTCCATCATTTTGACAACCAAACAAAAAAATGTCTCTATACATTCCCAAAGCCCTGTAAGGGTACTACTGCGCTGTTGAGAATTACTGATCACCAGTAACCCCATTAACCACAGGGAACCAGGTGATGATAGGAGGTAGAGTGGCTCACCCTCCCACCATTGAAATAGCTCAGTGGCAGTCCTGGAGATGGCAGAAAATTGGTTTCAGGAACAGCACCATTAGAAACAGCATTTTCCTACATGAAGGCTGAAGTCACTATTGTGATTATTACGTACCTCTATTTTTCCAGTTAACCTTTCAATCTCAGTCCGATCTTCCCTGTGATTTTTGGTATTTCCTCTGAAATCCCTTATTTGTTTTTTCTGCAGCTTCTCATAGCTTCTTTTCAGTCTGCCTAACTGTAGACACAGTTATTTAAAATTATTTATTCAAATTTATTTAAAATTTAAGAATTAGTATACAATGGCAAGGCCACAAATTGGTATTATGAAAGCAAGAGCAGTGCTAACCAATACTACTGAAAATGGACTGAGAACATATTCGATTTGCAATTGAAATACAAAACTGAAACTTACATATGAAAAATAAACTCTAATAAAAATAGAAAAATAAGAGAAAAATAATTTTAAAGAAAATATTAGGTTTTATAACATTAAGCTTGCACTTAAAGACCCTACCACCCACTTCCACCATAAAAACAACAAATAAAAATTATTTTTCTTTTCTCTAGGTCTATGGTTCTCAAGCCAAAGTGCTGTGGGGCACTGATAATCAGGAATAATTAAACCAAAATAAAAGCAGTTTTTCCCAAATCTAAGTAAAATTGAATTAATGGATAGAATTTTCTTATTCCTAAAATTCTGCTTTTGATCCTCCATTACTTAAAATCTATCAAGTGACTTAACTCAAAAAATCAAAATATTAAAATGTTTTGCAATATTTCACAGAATTATATAAAAATATTCTATTATCTTCATATACTCAAACAAGAAACGTATTTTATAATTCTTGTTCTAGGCAATATTGAACAAATAATCAGGCAGGATTTTTTGCCTGGATTTAAGAACAAGGAAATAGATCTCTAGCCCTGTACCTCCCATGGAATAGGTATTTTCAATTTTACAGTAGAAACTGACTCTCATTAACAAAATTCTCAAGGACTAAAGAGATAACTAAACAACATATATTAGAACTAAAATCTCACTTCTTCGTGTAGTTTCTTTAACTCTTGCTTGTACTCCATGGCCATCTCTTGCTTGATTTTTTCATGGTCTTCTAACTGCTGCTTCAACAATCCAACCTAAAAGGAGACAGATGATAGTACTTTTTATTATTAGCCTTGAAACAATAGCCCTGAACATAAAAGTAGGAAATAACCTTTGTACTTACTTTTAAACAAGTTTCAAATGTATAGAACGTACATAAGCTCCATGTATGTTTATATATATTGTATATATTTTCAAATATCTAGCTATATTCAATAATTCATAGCACACTCCCCCCAAAATGGAGAACAAACAACTGTTCTAGAATTTCCAGGTTTAAATGAAAATTCACATTGTCTATTTGATGTATTCTCCCCAATCTTTTTCATAAGAAAAACTGATGAAAACAAGGGGCTGGGGATGTAGCTCAAGCGGTAGCACGCTCGCCTGGCATGCGTGCGGCCCAGGTTCAATCCTCAGCACCACATACAAACAAAGATGTTGTGTCCGCTGAAAACTAAAAAATAAATATTAAAAAATTTTCTCTCTCTCCCTCTGTCTCTCACACTCTCTCTTAAAAAAAAAAACTGATGAAAACAATTTTAAAAATATAAAGCTTTTTAAATTTTAGAAACCAAGAATGCTGTACATTAAAAAGTCTATAAGGGTCTGGGGTTATGGCTCAGCGGTAGAGCACTCGCCTCATACATGCAAGGCCCTGAGTTCAATCCTCAGCACCACATAAAGATAAATAAATAAAATAAACGTATTATGTCCAACTACAACTAAATAAATAAATAATTTTTTTAAATCTATAAGACTTCAAGAATAACTTCTATAAATCCAAGTGCAGATTAATAATGTCAGAAAGAAAGACAGCAGGAGAATTGTACTTGCTTTATAAATTCACCCAACTTTATAGAAAATGGTTTCACTAACCAAAGGAAGTCATCCTAACTCAATTACCAATGATTTGAGACCAGCCATGATTATTTCCTGCCCAGACCTCACCTATGTAAGTATCCAGCTGTACTTCTCTCCGTGCCACCCCCCCAACCTTTTAAAATTTCTATCAGGTCCTATTTAATGAAGAGAATCTAATCAAAAACAGATCAAAGATTTTAATAAATATCCTTTCAGCATCTATGGAGATGATAACATGACTTTTTCCTCAGCTTTATTAGTAAATAAGTTAGATTAGTTGATTTATTTTGTTGTTGTTTTTGTTCTTTTTAGTGACACATGACAGTAGAGTCAATTTTGACCTATCTATACAAACATGAATGCATCATATTCTAATTAGGATCCCAGTCTTGTGTATGTACATGATGTGGAGATTCACTATGGTGTATCCAGCAGTACTTCTCTTGACAACCAATCAGAATTTCAGTTACAGACAAAAGGAGCTGGAGAACAGGGGCCTGGAGATAGTAATCTCAATCAAAATACAGAATAGTAATTCAAAACCAAACAAACAAACAAAAAACTAAAAATAAATTTATAAGACTAAGAAGTTAATACAATTTCAATAAAAAAAATCCTAGTATTTTTCTGAACTTGAGAAAGTATTCTAAAATTCAAACTAAAGAATATTAAATGTACTCAATAAAAATGGAAGAAAAAACTACTAAGTGAATATTTACCAAATTTCTGGATAAGAGGAAAKTTTCTAGCTTAAAGCAAATGTAAAAGTCATTTTAAAATGATGGATATGACTGTGTAAAAATGTAAAACTTCCACATTTTAAAAAAATCCAAGTAACAAAATTAAAAGAGTAAGTTAAACTCACTCTTATATACTAATCAAAGGGCTTTAAACTTTTAGTATATAAATAAACTTTTACAAATCAAATTTAGGAAATTACTAAGCTTTCAATAGAGTAATAACATAAGAAAAATGATTCCTACAAAACCTAAAAGAAAATTATAAAAATCAATGGATACAATCAAAGCACATTATATTCACAACGAAATGTCACAACGAAACCCATTAATTTATATAAACAATATGTGCTAATAATTTTTAAAAATATTTTTAAAATGCCATTGGGCATTTTATGTCTATCAAATTGTAAAGATCTCATAAAATATGATTTACGTAAGCCAGTTATTTAGAATCAAGTACCCACACAGAGTGTTTAGAAAAATGCAAAGTACAACAACCTTTCTAGAAACCTTTCTATATTAATACTCATAGAAATAGTAAGCATTCATCTATTCAACACAAATTGAAAAGCCTTAATTATTCATATTTCCTAATCCATATCTGCTTGAAGATACAAAATTAGCAAGTGAAGGAACAAGAGGTAAGTACAATGATCAGTAGAAACGTACAAGATTTTTTAGCACGAACAGAAGAAAAGAAAGAATCAGATTACCATTATAGTAGACCTGTGGTATCTATCTACTAAAACACATAACTCACCACCAAAAAAACCACACACACACACACACACACACACACACACAAACTTCCTTAGACTTTCAATAGTTATGACCCGTTGGCCCTCTGTCACATTTAAGATAGGACAGGCCTACAGAACCTTCAAAGCTTTGAATGATTTTATGAGACCTATTAACTGACCATGGAATCCTCAAACCCAGCAAAAATTCTTTGACCAAGGTTTTTAAAATCAAAGGCGAAGGGATAAAACAAAACAAAACAAATAACCCATCACTTTCCACTTTACAATATTTTACGATCTCTCTTATTTGGCTCTTCATCTATGTCCCAAGAGAACTCAGATCCCAAAGAGAAAGGTTTGCTGGCATGACCTTACAACCCATTTGAAGAAGCCTGGCCTTGAGAGTCTCTCCTTCCTCAGATTCTTGGCATAATGTGACATGTGGAATCCCTGAAGAGCACAGAAGAGGTTCTAGTTCAATCTCAGTTTCTCTGACCTCTTAGCAATTGGATCTCTTCATCCACCACTAACAGATGAAATAAATACCCAAATTACATATAGCCTACCTATCAAATAAAGAGAGGCAGAAAGACAAAATATTTTCAAGACAAAACAGCAATAGAGAATCTCCAGGTAACTATCCTAATAAATAAGGAAATGCAGATGACAGAGTGACAAAGTCTAAAGAAACTCGGAGAAAAAATACAAGATACTAACCAATGAGTGCATGTTCGATTTGCAAACTAAATGCCAGAACAAACCCTCCAACTCCAACTGAAATCTCTTTTCAATACACTATACAGTTACAGTTAATAGCAAGTCCATCCCAAAACCGTACTAGAGAGTATGAGAGTATGAGAGTGAGAGAGAATGAGAGAGAGAGAGAGAGAGAGAGAGAGAGAGAGAGAGAGAGAATGTGTGTGTGTGTGTGTGTGTGTAAAATCTGGAAAACTTATTCTGAAAAAACACACCAAAAGCAACATGTAGAATTTGCTCCCCTCTTCCAGAAAATCATATTGACACTGAAAAGGAAAAAATGAGACCTTCAATTTCTAGTTCATTGTCTTATTAATTATAATGTAACACTAAATCATTGATCAATAACAGAAGTGAGAATATCAACTGTTAATGAAGATAACATGACCAAGATAGTCACAGAACTTCTAGTCCTTCACACTACTCTGTTTTTACTACTTTCTAGAGTAAAAGAAGTTAAAAAAATTTATAAAATTTATTAATACAATAAACTAAGTAAACAAGGACGAACATACTTTGTATAAATATAAAAAGATAAATGCAAAAATTGGCAAGAATTTTAGTAGGTAAGGGGGAAAGGAAGCATGATAAATCATGTAATTCTCAGAAGTTACCATTGTTACTAGTAATTTCCAAACTTTTCCATGCCCAAATGGAGGGGGAAAAATGCATGTTTTCAACCATTCAAATAGGAACTGGCTACTGGTTTATTTTTAAATAAACTTTAACTGAAAGAAAATAAATACACAGAAAAGTACAGCAGAGAATAATTCTCTCAATCATGGCCACCATTCCAAGCAGACTGCCTCCTCCTCTGCAATAGTCACTGCCTCTTTCTCCACAGGTAACCACTACTCTGACTTTGAATATTCTCAGTCAGTTTTGCTTTGTCTCTTTTTTTACTTTATATAAATGATGCCATCATACACACAGAATAATGATTCCATACATATGGTATGTTCTCCGGGGCTGGTGCTTTCACGAAACATGATGTTTTTAAGAGTCATCCATACTGCTGCCTGGAGCAAAAGCTCATTCTTTTTCAATGCTATATTGTCTTCTACTGTATGGATACATAACTTAAAAAGTCTTTTTTATCATTCGTGGACATGTGAGCTATATTCAGCTTCAAGTTACTAAGAATAGTGCTGTTAGGAACAGAAGTACCACATATTTGTATTAGGAGTGGAACTGCCACATTGTAGTGTAACTTCAGTAGATAACTGGCAGTTTTCAAAAGGGATTGTACTAATTTACATTACCACCAATAATGTAAATTCCAGCTACTTCATGTTCTTATGATAACTCACTATTCACAGTTTTTTAACTTTTAGTCATTCTGGTGAATATCTAGTGGCATCTTGCAGTTTTAATTTGTATTTTTCTCATAACCAGTGAAATGGAGCACTTTTTTACATGCTTATTAGCCATTTCAATATCTTCCTTTATGAAATGGCTATGAAAATTTTTTTCCTATTCTGCCATGCAGTTAACCTCTTATTAAACTAAAGAAGTTTTAGCTGGGTTAGCTGGGCACCTTGGCGCATGCCTGGAATTCCAGTCACTAGGGAGGCTGAAGCTTGAGGATCACAAGTTTGAGATCAGTCTGGGTAACTTAGCAAGACCCTGTCTCAAAATAAAAAATAATTTCAAAAGGACTGGAGATGTAGCTCAAGGTACCCTTGGTTTCATCCCCAGTACCACACACAAAAAAATAATAATAATAACTTTATCTATTCTTTGTTGCTATGCATTGTAAAAAGGTTCCTGATTTTAACATAGTCCAAAATCAAACCATTAACCTTTTCCTTTATAATTATTGTTCAAGAAATCTTTTCCCTATCCCCTTATCACATACTTCTAACATATTTTCTAAAATCATCTTCTAGAATATTTTTTAAGCATTTCATATTAAAATCTATAATCCATCTACAA